ACACACACACACACACACACACACACACACACACACACACACACACATATACAGGGAGTCCTTGAGTCATAACTACAATTGAGCCCAAAAATGTCTATTGCTAAACGAGACCATTGGCCTCATTTTATGGTCTTTCTTTTGCCATGGTGGTAAGTCGTTAACTTTGTAACATGGTTGTTAAGTGAATCTGGTTTCCCCATTGGATTTGCTTGCCAGAAGGTCTCAAAAGTTGATCATGTGACTCCGGGATACTACAACTGTCATAAATATGAATCAGTTGTCAAACATCTGAAGTTTGATCAGAGGAATGCTGCAATGGTCTTAAGTGTGAAAATGATGATAAGTCGCTTTTTTTCAGGGATGTTGAAACTTTGAAGGGTCACTAAGAAAAGTTTCATAAGTCAAGGATTATCCTGTACTTCCACCAGGTAAGCCAGTATGGTCTCCTTTTCATGATGGAGAGGATGAAAATTGTATGGCTTAGTCTTAGTGAACAAGATAGTTATTTTCTAAAGAGAGATTTCAAATCAAGCATTGATGGCTTTCTTAAATGACACAGTCCAGCTCAACCTTTCCTATCACTCTTTTGACATCTTCTAAATGTGCTAAACTACATATACTATCAGCCCAGCCAGTGTATTAACTTGGATGAGAAGGCTGGGAGATACAGTGCATTTCATCTCAAGATTGTTATTTGACTAAACTTTAGACTAAAGTTGACTAAACTGTGTGGGTTGCATCCGATTATTCCTAAAAGAGCACAACATTTCTCAACTTGCTTCATTAGGGTAACACACAAAAGAAAGCAGTTATTACTCCATGGCTACTTAATATGTGTAAGTTGGGTATGGCAAGGGGTAGAATCCCAAGCATTGAGGGGTGGCTGGTTACAGAAAGCTGATATAGCTCAATGGGTTGCTCTTTCAAAAAAAGGAATGTTTTCCTTTCCAGGTTGGGTTAAAGAAAGTTATCCAGGAATGATAAAAGACTCCATGGACAGGGAGGATTGAAAAAAACCCTCCAACTCCCCCCACCCTAAGAAAATCTCCTCTTCCCTCCTTGTGGAATCTGAAATAAAGGCATCTCCCAGTCTCTGGCAACACTCAGAGTGTTTAGATGAAGGGCTGAGATGGAGACACCTATTGAAATGTGTCTGAAGAAGATTAATAGGACTTGTCAGGGATGGGAAAGCTCTGGCTTTGCGGTAAATTTCTACCAAGAGAAGATGAATTACTGATGAATGCCGAGTTATCAACCCCATCACAATCATTCGACACTAAATCAAATTGAGCGCTTATCTGCAATCAGAAATTCTCCTCCTCTTTTTTCTTCTCCCCCCCCCCACCTTTTTAAAAAAGGTAATGTGCATGTTTTGGCTTAAGTCTTTTTTTTTAATCAATAAAACCATGGCATGCAACCATACTTTCTCTCCCTTAAGCATGAGCGAAAGAGAAGTGCTTTTAAGCTGAGGACAGAATCATGCTTTTCCGTGGCCTAAGAAGCAAAGGGATGAAGAAAAAAAGCTAATGAAGAAGAAAACCCAACAACCTAGAAATAGGGAGAAATTTCCTGACAGTGAGAACAATTAACCAGTGGAATGGCTTCACTTCAGAAGTTGTGGGTACTCCCATCACTGAAGGATTTTAGGAAGAGATTGGACAGTCACTTGTTTGAAATGGTATAGGGTTTCCTGTTTGGGTAGGGGGCTGGATTAGAAGACCTCTAAGGTCCCTTCCAACTCTGTTATTCTGAAAAAGAATCTCTGGGAGATGATGTGCCATGGGCAAAACCATATTTGTCTCTTAGCACAATGATGAAAAACCTCTGTACATGTTCCAATGGCCTTTCCTTCCTTTTCAGAGAACTAGCTAAGATAATGTTTTTTGGGGAAAAGAATAAAAATTCACCAAGACCAGCCTTCAGTTTCTAATCCAGATGTTTTTCAGCAGACTATCGTTGGGAATGAAACCTTACACATTGACTTGCCCAGTAGATATCAAAGTAGATATCAAAAGGTATATGATTTCTATCTCTGAAGCTAGAAATTTAACTGACATGGCCATTAGTTGTTAATATGCCTAATCTCTGTTAATTTGTCTAAATATCTTCTTAAAGACACCCAAGCAAGTGACAATTAGCTTGAAGAAAGAATCATCTTCTCTGCCCTGTCTCTACCGCCAATTAATTTAATTCTAAGGTCCAGAGCAGGAGTGGGCAAACTGTACTCATGAGGTGCTTTTGACTTCTTTAGATACATCGTTGGAATTTTGGAACTCCCTTTTGCCTTGCTGAAGGGAATCCCAAAATAAATCTGCTGAACAGATGCGACAATCAGATCAGACCTCATCTGAATAAATGGATTCACAACCATTTGTTTCAAAAGGCTATTGAAATCGGCAAGAAGGATTTGAAGGCCCCTGATCTAACTCAGCAAATCAACTCAATCAGTGAAGGTCTGGGGTTCAAATGGGCAATTCCATCAGATGGTCTTAAATATAAACCTTCAGATGAAAGCCACTGTATAACACTAGTTATTTGGGGCAGGGGGAAGGTCATAAACAAAGTTGATGAAGGAGAATGATCCATGATGGCATACATTTAAGAATTAGGAGTTAATGTTGCCTAATATTAACTTCTGAAATTTTGTGGAATTTCAGGTTTATTATTTCAAATTTTAACATGAAGAAGAGAGAAAAAGAGTGTTTAGATGTTGGAAACTTCTATTCAAGCACCTTCTCAACTACTCTCCATTAACTGAGAAGAAGAGACTGGCCACAAGTCACCCAGATGACATCGGAGCTAAAGGAGGACTTAGAATCTGAGTCTTCTTTTGCCTAGTCTGATATCTTCACCATAACGCATGCTGGATCTCCAGTATGACATTCTTTGGATGTCTATAGGCTACAATAGTCACCTCCAAACTTTCAAACCTCCCAAGTGTATATCTAGGAGGCATCAGACTGGGAAAACCTGGTCACAGCTCTGGTCAAACCTGGTCAAAACTCTGGTCGCTTGGAGCATATGAAGCTCCAAGCCCCAGATTCAATCTTCAGACTCTCTCAATTAGTGCAGGAAAAGGGTTGTGGACTACAAGTTTCAATAGGGAAATATTGAATATTTTGTAGCAATGGAATCACATCACATATGTGGTAGGGCAGGTTCTTCAGGTTATGTTAAGGTGTTTCTTTTTTATTTACCTGTGCTTCGCTTTATTTTACTGCTTATATTACAATTTTCATTTGTTTCCCATCTCAACAAGGCATGTTTTCAGCATTTATGGTTAAAGGGACCCTGAAGGCTACAGAACGTGAGTTTAGAAACTACACGCTGTCCTGTGACTGCAGATTTCCAGTGCTTGTGGTAGAACCATGGCCAGTCCATAGCTTAACTAGATACATTGAATGGCATCCTTGAATTGAGACCAGTTTCTTAATGCCCACAAAGTTATTCTTCAGATATCCTGGTGTTTTTCAGATGTTTGGATTAGATACAGTCCTTCCCCATTGTTTGCTATGGCCGTAAGTTAAAATCTACAGCATCTGGAGGACACCAGGTGGCCTACCCTTGACTGGTTCTAAACTTTCTTTAAAATGCTAAATTGGTGAATGTATTCATATTGAATCAAGATGTGGGGATCCAATGTTCAAAACAAACAACTAAGTGCTTCAGGGACCAGGTCTAGCAAACACACTGAAAATTGGCTAGTATTTCTCTAGACATCTGGCTGGTTTAATGCACCTAATAGCTTGACATTTGGCCCTGAATTTCTTCAGCTAAATGTATCCATCTGTACCTGGTTTGTTTTTCTTTGTTTATGGACGGTCCTTCCAAACTATACCACATATTAGGACCTAGAATCAGAAGTCCTTCCTCACTGTTTTTGTGTGATGGAATGAACTCACTGATACATTTTTTGGGTCCCCTTAAAAGGGAACCGTAAATCATTTTATTTATTTAAAAAATATATAGAGACTGCCCATCTTTTCCTCAAAGAATTGTCTCTTGATAGGGCCAAGGATTACATCTGGAAGAGGAATAACAATGCTTCATTCAGAATTCTGTCTTCCAAACTATAGCAAGAATCTAGTTCAGAAGCACAACCTCAGAGAACTGTGAATCACGAGACACAATCCATAAACTCCATTTGGCTAGCATAATGCACCAATCTGCATTTATCACAACCTTGACTAGATTTATATGCTCTAATGGCACCTCAATAAGAAAAAGCTGGGATCTTATTTGTCCTTTCCTGTCCCAAGGAATCCCCCCCCCCCATGGGCTTTGCCTGGTTTTAATCAGAGTCTGAAGGTAGGGGACGAAAAGTGTATTATTAAAGAATCAAAATAATTTCAGAAGCAATCAATGGATCAATGATTGATTTCGTGTGTAAATCAGCCATAATTCAAAACAGATTTCTTCAAACGAGGACTTCTGAGATACAAAAGCTAGGCAGCTGTGTAGACACACCAGTTGAAAATGTCAGAACAATATGATTAACTCAGAATAGTAGTGGAATAATGGAATAATATTTTCTTCTTTCACCTCCACACCCCAACAAGACTTCACAGCAGAATTCACTGGCATGAAATCATGTTTTATCATTTAGTGTGTGAGGAAAGCCATTAAAGATAAATCATGGTTGAGTAAAAGTAGGCCTTAGTATTTATGCAAACTCAACCATTGTATATGTTTTGAGGTATCTCAGATTCAATTTATAGAACAAGACGCAATATCTCTAAAATCTGCTATTTTACAGGCCAGCATTCATTTACTTTCTGTGTACTTCCTCATTCTCCAGATGCAACTTCACTTCTCCAGATATCATTGGACTATTTATTCTTAGCATCATAAACCAGCTCAGCTCTGGATCATAGTTTTTGCAGTCCAAAAAAGAACCTGGGATTCTTTGATGTGAAAAAGATTCAAAATCTGTCACATGGTTTGCAAGGTTAAATATTCCTCTGGGTTGTCTCCAGGTATAAGGACAATTTTTTTATTGTTCTTGGTGAGTTCATCAAGGACATCAGGATGGAAATAGGAAATGTGAAAATCCAGGCTGTAGAATTTTAAACAGTGATGTCACACAAAATCCCACCGGTAATAATTCTGTCAGAACTGAAGAAACTTCTTGGATGAGAAGCAAAACCTTATCAAAACAACAACAACAACAACAACAACACAAAAAAGTCCAGTTGCCTTTTGGAAAAAAAACATCAATAACCATGACCTGGATCTCCATAGACAATTCTATCACAGCTGAGAATAAGATAAGTTCAAGATAATACTACCAAGAATGATTAAAAAGAAATTCTCCAGAATTCCGAGAAGATGATTGAAAAACAGAATCTGTTTTTTTCAAGAAAAGAACACTCAGAAAATTATAAGGCAGATTTTGGTAAACATTGATTGATTCGTGTGGGTCAATCACTTCTGCCTTATCCCTGAATATACAGTATAAATGCATTGACAAGTATTTCCTTCAATATACAGTGCAAGTTTCCATTGTGACATTAAAGTAAGACATCTGAAATCCTACTCAGGCTCACATTTCTAAGTATGAAATTAAAATCTTGACTTTACGATCTTTTCCCTAGTTTGGAGACTTGAGCTTTGCAGCTTCTGGTTGCTTGAAGAATTATAACCATCTTCAGCCAAAGTACACTAGATTGTGTTCAAATTTCCATTAACAAGGGTAGCGAAGAAGTGATGGTGGACTTCACTTCAAAATCAAGATCCTGAGACTTTAAAAGGGTTTATTTATTTAGTAAATGTCTTTATTTATGGAAATATATAGGGTCTTTTTTGAACTGGGCCCAAAGAACTATTGATAGATGAATAGCTTAGCTCAGACCACAGTTTCAAACACGTACAAACCTCTGAAAAGCTATGACATAAGGAACTACAATCATACATATTGCCAACCCCTGTTACTACAATTACAGATAGCAAAGCATATGAAGACATAACTGGGGACCTATATTGCTTAAGATCTTCTAAATCAAGACCAATGCTTTATTCATTTATTCCATTTCTGTCATGCCTCTCTTCCAGTAGCTCAACATGGTGTGTGTTGTATTCCTTTTCTCTACTTTTATGCTGAGAATAATAAATAAAACTTGTGAGCAAAGCTGGGTTGAAAGCTAGTGAGATGCCTCCAGACATTCAGCGGGCTTCCCTGGTGAGGGGATTGAATCCCCAACTCTCACGGGTAGAAGCCATGCGTCTACCTTGAAGCAGCTTATATATGAAATGAATGCTGCATTCAGATTATGCACATTGCTTATAATATAAGTCAGGGGTAAGATTCTACCAGTTCGCCCCTATTCGCTAGAACCGGTTGTTAACATTCTAAGCAGTTTGGAGAACCACTTGTTAGAAGAAATTACTGGCCTAATCCCGTAAGGAAGGCAGGAAGGAAACATTCTGGTGTTGCTTACAGAAACTGCCTCTCCATTAATCCTTATTACATTCTTGGCAGGATTCAAAGTATGTCACATAGTCTGCAAGGTTAGATATTCCTATGGGTTGTCTCCAGGTATAAGGAGACATTTTTTAAAATTGTTCTTGGTGAGTTCATCAAGGTGAGACCATCAGGATAGAATTAGGAAATGTGAAAATCCAGGCTGAAGAATTTTGGACGGTGATGTCACATAAAATCCCACCCAAACAATACATTGTTGTTATAGAATGAATTACTCTGTTTCTCCAACTTTCCTCTTGTCTTCTGAAAGTTGGTTGAAAAAAAATGCACAATCTATGTACAAATAATTTTTTTTACCCCAGTTTTGTCTAGGGATCAGCCAATCCTGTCTTTTATCATTTATTTAATTTATCATTTAGCAATTCACATTTTTAAGACACCATCTTTAAATTGCCACATATGCACCCTTAAACAATATTTAATAGGCCTTAGCAAGAGGCCCTGAGTTAAAGCAATATATAATCAAACATGCATGCGTGCATACAAACACACACTTATGCAAAACATGCAGGGAAAAAAAATTGTGTATTTTTTGATCTGTTTCGCCCATTCACAGATGAGTTGCCAAGAAGAATCAAAGATTTTTTTCAGAGCTTAACAAATGATGGGAGCTCAGCAGAACAAGTTTTTCTTTGTTATGGAGGATATAAGCATTATTTGCTATATATATATATGCATTCTAAATTAGAGTTGTGAAAGCAAAGCTTCATCTTTAATTCATCACTCTCAGCTGAAAGAAATCAGCCATGTCTTGCACAC